GTTAATCCTTCCTTTTTGGGATCAACATTTAATTTCCAAAAATTGCCGCCAAATTTGGGGGTAAAACAGTTTAAGGGTTAATTTCTAAATTTTTAATTTTAAGATCTAAAATTTCATTTAATTTTTCAGTAAAATTAAGTAATTGATTTGTATAAAATACTTGTAAATGATTTTTTATATCATTTAAATTATTATCTGTTTTATAAAAATCTATAATATCATCTTTTAATTCTATATCAAAATTTTTTCTTCTAATATTTTCTAATCCAATTATTAAATAATTTTTTTAATTTCTGATGCTATAGACCTTTTTAACAGATCTATATCTTAACATTTTTCATTAAATCTATATAACATTAAAAGTATTTTCAATAATTTTTAGATGTTTACCTTTATAAATATCTAAACTAAGTTAAAGATTATGAGCTTCATTATTAAATGAAGAATTCCTGATATTAATTCTTATATGATTTTAGAAAAACTATATATATTATTAGCTAAAGTATAATGCTATTCTCTTAAAATTTCAGAAGTTAAAAATGATAAAACATTATAAATATTATTTTTTTAGATGTTTGAAAATTATTTATAGGTTTATATAATTCTAAATCATTAATAGATAAAATTTTATTTCTAATATTTAAAATATTACTATAATGAAAATCATAATGAATAAGATTTTTTTAATGTATTTTCTCAAGTTCATTAATAATATCCAATTGAAATAATTTAATGATTCATTTTATAGATACCTGCTAAAACCTTTTCAAAATAATTTCATCATATACTTTCTATGTTTTAAATATAGTTTTAACAGTTTCAGCTTTCATCGTATCGAAAGGATTTTATCATATTTCTTATTATGATTTTAATATAGTTTTATCTAAGTTTCAACTGTTATTAAGAGATTTCGTCTTTCATTATTAATCCATTTATATTTAACTATGATAAATTTTTTCTCAAATTATTATTTATTGAATATTTTATTATTACCATATAATCTAAAGTATTTAGATTTTGAATAAATTCATATAATTGAATAAGATTTTTATCTGAATATATTTTAATTAGTTATAATATTTATAATAATATTTTCACTAAAATAAAAACAAATTAATTTAAAATATTATTATTTAAATTAAATATAATTATTAATTTATATCTCATTTAAAAATTCTTCATTTAGATTTGATGATATATCAAAACTTTTAAGAATTAAATTAATACTACTATTTTTAATCCATTTTTATTATTATATTTATAAGATTTAATAAATCCATCTATTCAAATTGCTTTATATATAGTACTAAATCCTCCTTATTAAGATATTCAATATTTTCAAATCTATTATAAGAAATCCATTCTAATAATTGCTTTTATTTTAAGCATTTATTTGAATATTTTAAATAAATTTATCAATAAATTTATTTTTACTAGTTCAATTATAAAAACATTGTTGAAATAAATTAGAATAACATTCTTTACACCATTTATATTCAGTATTTTTTTTATTACTATTTGAGCAAATCCCTTTTTTAAATAAATATAATCAAAGTGACAAGAGCCTTATCCTCATAATCATCAACTGCAAATTATTACTTTCACTGCTAAATTTAAAAAATTGATCTCCTGATCATCATAATGCATACCCTGACCAATAAATTCTGCATGATGAAAACATGTTAAATAATTATATTCATTTAATTTTTATTGTTAACTCTAGAATTCAAGTCTTTGATTCCTATAATTTTCAACAAATAAAAAATTTTCTCATTATTATTTATTAATTTTAATTTGAATAGTTGTTAAAATTCATATATTTTCGCTAATGTAAGGATTCTTTGATTGATAAATGCTTTTGCAATTACAGAAGCTTTCATGACAATAAGATTAGTAAATCCATTCGATTGATTGACTTCTTTTAATTATCTATATAATAGTACACTAAAAAAAATAAACATTTCTGCTGAAATTTCTGTTTATAAATAATCTCCTTTTCTGCATCTGTAGGATTTCTTAAACCTTGACTGAACCATCAACCTCAGATAAGTCAACTGAATGAAATCAATAATAAATTCAATGGAATATCAAAATTGAAAGGAATTATAATCAATTTTAAAATTCATACCAGGATTAAAGTCCCTGTTCAAACTTATAACCAAATAATTTTCGATACATGGCTTTAAAAAATATATACAGTATTGATCCTACGTTAAACTATCAGATTTCTTTTTTTCTTGTCATCCATTTTTCTTAAAAAAAATATACTGTATATATACTAAGGTAAACTTTTTTATTTTGAATTTTCGCTCGTAAATTTAATACTGTATTTATAAATACTCATTCTTCAAAAAAGAAACCTTTAAGAATTGTCTTTGTCAAGAATTTACCTTGTTCAACCCAACCACCCCCTTTAATTAATTTCATTTCACCCCAATTGGATGATCAATCAATATCTAAATTTCTTTCCAATGTAGATCTCGGCTTACTTTGTCAGCCGTAAACTTTTATTTTACATTTACTCAACTAGTATTATAGATCATTTAATGAGTATAATTTATCCCATTTCACTCTACTATATCTTCAGGAGACACGTATTTAATAATTATATTCTCATGCTGGTTCGACGCATCTTTGGACAACTTAATGTTTTGGAGAAACGATTTATGTTAGAATTATCAATTCGATTGATCTGTCTCCGATTCAAGAAACTGACATGTAGACCATTTCTGATGGTTCAACCTCTTTTAAAAATTACGAAAGGCTGAGACAGTAATTGCTGTAGCCAATTATTTAAATGTCGCATTATTAAATAAATACCTGCTATAGAACTTTTTTCATAAAACAAAGGCTTTCTAAAATCCCAAAAATAAAATCCTCCTCGTCCACGTTTGTTATTTTGATATATGGCGCAACAGATAATAAGAAACTGTATAATGTATCAAAAAAAAAGGTTTCGTGAAACAATAAATTGAGTTAATATTAATATTACATTTCGATAACGTCTCGCTAAATATTCCAAGGTACTTAGGAAGTTATAAGAATTACAGTTATTTTCTCAAATTAAGAATAGCATTATATTATAGATAGAGATGCAGCAGGAATTTCAGAAAAGTTTTAACCAGAGGGTTTATTAAGTAACACATAAGGGATTATATGATAAAATGCTATTATTCCCAGTACATATTAAAGATATTTATTATAAATGTACAAGTTTTAGGTTGTTAATTCAAATGAAAAATGACTAGTTATAATAATTAAAATGTTATCAAAAAGTAGATGTTTAACAAAAAAAAAATGATTAACGTTAATTCCATGCGTGTGACTATCACGTGTAACTGCGTTTATGATTTCAGGTCACATTCGTAATTAGTTATCAGAACCACAATTTCCTTCCGTACAAATTCCACAGGCTAAAGGACTCTGATTCATTGGATCATTATGATCAGAAATAAAAACCATAATACTATATTCTTTAGGTAAATCGGCTGGTATTGTAACGCTCGTCGTCATATCAATTAAAGTTAAAGCTTTAATTGGACACTTCTTTTCAGAACAAATATCAACAGCAGTAGGTTCAAATATTGGAGAAATACCAGATTGAACAAATGCAACTACAAATTTGTCGCCTGTTGTGACATCTTTATCTAGAACTGTCTTAATAGTAAAATTAGCAGGTTTTCCAGCAACGACAGGATCAGGTGTAAATGTTATAATGGGTAGTATTGGAACAGGGTAGCAAAAAACGCACGGAACAAATTCAGTTTTAGCATTGACCATTGAAATCATGGCCAATATAATGGTTGCAACAATAAAATTTTTCATGACGTTTGATTTCTTTTTTTTTTGATCCTTGTTAAATTTTTTTTTTTTGGTCTGAATATTTTGAAATTATCGTTATACCTTTTTTTTATAAGGTTTTCGCAAAATCGTATTTCCGTCTTTTTTGATAATGATTAAATGATCAAACTGGATTCAGATTTATTTTATTTTATTATTTTTTTGAATTGATAAGTAAATATATTCATTTTAAAAGAAAATATTAATTAACATCATATCATCACATGTATCCGAGATATTATTCTCATTGATCGACACCATTTACATGAATTAAAAACGGTCACTTTTTAATTAAAAATTAAAAATTTTTTTTGTTTTTTATTTGTATTTTTTAGTTGGTAAAGTTTTAGAAATCATGATAAATTTTTTTTTTTTTTAAATTTATTATATCAAGTATTTATAAAAAAAAAAAAAAAATCTTTTAATGAATGATTTTGCATAACACCTTTTCCATTTAATACACTTCGCTTTTTTCGAACATATTGTAAGACATCTTGAGTTCTCAGGTTGAACCAAGATAGGATAAACCATTATTAATTGCAATATCTGTAGGTGTTCGAGTTTAAAATTCTAAAGCTAAAGGGGGATCTGTTGTAGCCAAATACGTTAATTTCCGAAATGCGCATCCAAATCATTTGGAATATTTCAAATGCGAAGATATGCAAATGCACATGACATTTCGGATATCCAAATGCTCACTTCTGATATTCCAAAATGAACATTTCGGATAATGTTCCAAATGCTCACTTACTTCGGACTGTCCCAAATGACACTTCGGGATATCCCTAATGGTTACTTATTTAACTTTATTTATTAAATTGTGAATTATTTAAGTGTTATTTGTCGATCAATTATAACTAAAATCGAAACTGCCTTTTATGTTTCAATAACCTTTATTTAGTAAAAAACAAATAATAATGCATGTTCGCGAAAGTAGTTTAATGTTGTTCGTATTTTAGATATTTCTAATGGCAGAAACTATTGATAAATATCTTCCATGTATTTGTTATACTTGTCAAAACTGTTAATACGGTTTCAAACCTTTACAAATATTCGTGTACTGTAAATGTAATAAAGATAAAAAACCACCAAAATTAGCAAAACAAACTCTGGACAACAAATATATTATCGTGCAGATTTGTTTTTATTAGCTGCTAATAATAAGTTTGATTATAATAAATAACTTTAAAAAACCATTATTACTTATACTTTTTGTGATGTATGTAACAGTAAATTTCAACGATTGATACAAAAGTTCAAATAGATAATAACTTTAAAATTCTGATGATTCAGATGCTTTATTAAAGGTATCAGTTGTTGAAGATAATCTTTAGAAGTAGGAAAATCTGTTGAAGAAGATAGTATTAAGAAGAAGATAACATTGAAGAAGAAAGCATTGAAGTGGAAGAAGATTATATTGAAAAAGAAGATAACATTAAAGAAGTATAAGTACAAATAATTAAAAACCAAATATAAAGGCATCTATAGCGTAAACCTTCAAATGAATTAGACTTTCAAGAATTTATTAATGAAAACCAATAATAAGTAATTTTGGCTGACAAAAAAATGGCAATAATAGTAATTGTAAAAGATAATATAAATAATAAAAAAAATTCAAATGATAAATATCAAAAGATAAATTTTTTTTGTATATTATAAAATATAATGAGCAAATTTTAATACTTAAACATTCTTTTTTTTTAGAATTCTAATAAAAGTGAATTATTTATTGAAGAAACTGAATTGCAATATAAAAGAAAAAAAAATCTCATGTAGAAGAATTATCAAAAAGAAAAACAAGATCTAAAATTATTATTACTTTATATGAAAAATATAAATGCAATTTACATATATATAATACTATACTTCATTAAAGATGATAATTATAATTCAATCCTACTAGATTATAACTTTAGACTCATAAAATAATTAGTATTATTTTTAAATATTAATTTTTATAATAAAATTAATGCCTAATTTTATTTAGATTAATATTAGATCTACAGAGGGTGGACAAAAGTATCTGCACACTTTTTCACTCAATATAAAACTTAAAATATTTTTGCAATGACAATAAAAAGTCAATTAATTATTATTTAAAGCCGATTAATATCTACATTTTGTACTAAGTAACTAGTACTTAGTTGGGCTACCATTTGCCGTAATCACTGCTTGAATTTGTTGTGACATACTATTGACTAGATTTTCGATAGTATGCTTCGAAATTTCTTGCCATGCCTTTTTAATATATCAGTCAAGATCAGCAAGATTAGATAAAGGTTTTTTATAAGCTCAGATTCTTTTCTTGACTTTGGCCCAAAGATTTCAATTGGATTAAGATTGGGAATTTGAGCTGGCCAAGATAATGTACGAAGATTGTTTTTCGCTTGAAATCATTGGTTAATTCTTTGGTTTTTACCATTTTTTTTAAATTTTCAAAGAAGAAAAATTTATTAAAGAAAAAACAAATTTGTTATTCTTTTATTTTTATAATATAAGTAAATACTTAAGTGTCATATAAATGCAATTTATTATTGTGATTATATGACTTTACTAGTATTAATTCACATTTATAGAGGTGTGCGAATACTTTTGTCCATCCTCTATACTTATAAATTCTTTTATCTTTTTTAAAATTTGATATAAAATTAAACACAATTTGTTAACAAAAAAAATTTACAGATACAAGTAATTAAACATCTTTTCTTATATCTACTATTACTCTTATAATTATTTAATTATTATTATATTTTATTAAAATTCTTTTCTTTAAGAACAGATAACATCATATATTCTTAATAATACAAATTTTATTTAGTATTATTATCAGATACAAATTATAATCAACTTTTAATTAACAAATTTTTTTAATAATTTAAATCAAAATATAATTAAAATAATATTTATTTTTCAATTTATAGATATCTTTTTTAAAGAAAAAATTATTATAATGCTATTACAAAATTAGATATGATAAAATTAAATAGCAAAAAAATAATATTATATAAGTTTGATAAAATATATAATGACATTTTTTTAATATTTAAAAATTTTTTTTAATAAAAATAAAATGTTTATTTATTTATAAATCATTATAAAAATTTTATTCATTTTTTATTTTGAAATTTACAATAAAAAAAAAATTTTAATTAAAAAATTTTAAATATCAATTGATATAATTTTATTATTTAAAAAGATATTTAATTATATATAACTATTAATACATATATAAAATTATTATAATTTTTCAATAAAATTTATTATACCTAATCTAAGATTTATAGTTAAAAATATAATTTTAATAAAATTATAATTAAAAGAAAATAAATAATATATCATTTTAATCTTTCAATTAATACTATTAACTTATTATTAATCTTAGCATTATCTAATAATACTATTATTTTCAAAATATGAATTCATTATGATATTTAAAAATAATAATAAAAATTTATATAATGATAATATAAAAAAAAATATTTATTATTTATTATTTATCACTTGATTAAGAACAAAATTAGCAAATCTTTTTTAATCATATAATTCTTTAAATATTTATTATTTCTAATGTAAATACAAATAAAAATGTATATTAAATTTTTATATAAGAATTATTTTATTTAAGCATATATATTTCAGGATGAATATTCATATAATTATAATAAACTTCTATTATTTTAGTATTTTTATCAAGAAAATAAATTGATTTTAAATATAATATTTACTAATTATAGCTAAATAATAACATGTAAAATTTTTTTTTTTTTAATACTGTATTCTATAACTTTATTAAAAAATATATTTTAATCAAACTTTATATTAAATATTTATAATATATCAAAAAATAGAATAGTTTGTAATTTTTAAATATTAAAGTGATTTTTAAAATATTATAATAAATACTTTTTTTTAGTTAAATTTTTCATTTATATACTAATTTATTTAAATATCAATATATTTTTTTCTATTATAAGATTATTTAAGTATAATTATATTTTTCTATTAAATAATTTTTACAATAAAATATCTTTAAAGAAAAAAATTTTTAAAATATATCTAATAATTATATAGGAAGTTTATTAGAAAAATTAGATTTTATAAATTTTTTTTAATTAAATTAAAACTTTAATACATTTAAATTTAATAACATAAAAACTAAAATACAATAAAAATTAAAATTTATTTAAAATATTTTAAAATCTGAATTTCCTAAAAAACTTTTTATATTATCTTTTATTTTATTCATAATATTCTTATTTATATATAATAAATATCTTAATAAAAAAACTATTTAGTATAAAGATAAATAATATATGATTATTTACTTTTAAAATAAAAAAAATAGTTATAAATTAATGAGAATTTTAATTATGACTTTCTTAAATATTAATTAAAATTTAATTAGAATAAATAGTAATAAATAAATTTTATATTAATAAATTATTATAATTTTTTACTTGAATAATAATTTATATTATAATATTTTACTTTTTTTTATAAATATAATAAAATGTAATAAAAAATCTTTTTATATTTATATTTAATATCAAAATTAATAGATATTTTATAATCTTAAAATTTTTTTAATATTAATAATTTAATTAATAAATATTTAAATTATAATATATTTAATAATACTTCTTTATAATCTTAATAATTTTTACAAATTTCTTTTAATAATTATTTAACTTTTATAATAATATTTTACTATACTTTGATATTAATTAATTTTAATAATATCAAAATTAATTATATTAATTTGATACTTTGTAGAAACCTATGATTTGTTATCGTATTATTAAGTGATCTTTATTAAATTACAGCAATTTAGTATCAAATACATAATAATTTAATATTAGACGATCTTGTAAATTTATCAAAAAATTATTTGCTTAAAGTCATAATATAATAAAAAAATAGTCTTAAATAAATGATAAATATTATTACAAGATAGCTGAAAAAAATTAATTCAAGTTATTTTTTGA